GTAAAACGGTTCCCAAAAGCTGCTCCCAACGGTGTTACTAAAAACTGCTCCCCAAAATTAATTCCCAAAGCACCCCTGCAAGGTTGCTCCAAAGTGACTATACTTCAAACATATTCTACAAAGCGGTTCCACCAAAGTGGCTCCCAAAAGCTAGGTTCCCGAAAGCTGCTCCCCAAAATTGCTGCCGAAAGCTGCTCCCCAAAGTTGCGTCCTGAATGGCTCCCCAAACCTGCCCCACAAAGCTGTTCCCCAAAGCCGCTCCCCAAAGTTGTTATCGCAAGCTGCTCCGGACAGCTGCCCCCGAAAGTTGTTTCCGAAAGCTGCTTCCCAAAGTTGCTTTCTAAAGCTACTCCCCAAAGCTGTCGTTCTTCAAAGAAACTGTCCGTCAATGCTGCTGCAAAGCCGCAAAGTTGCTCCCCACAGTTGCTTCCAAAAGCTCTACCGAAAGCCGCGGCCCAAAGAAGCTCCTCGAAACTCCAAAGCTGCTCCCCGAAGCTGCCTCAAAGCTGGTCCGGAAAGCTGTCCCTCCCTAAAGCTGTTCCCCGGCGCTGCTCCCCAAAGCTGTTCTCCAAAGCTGTTGGTTGCCCCAAAGCTTGCGATTCTGCAAACCTGTTCGCCAAAACGGCTCCCCAAAGCCATTCTGCAAAGCGGCTCCCCAAAGTTGCTACCGAAAGCTGCTCTCCGAAGTTGTCTGTAAAGCTGTCCCCGAAAGCTTCCCCCCAAAGCTGCTGTTCTTCAAAGCAATTGTTCGGCAAAGTTGGCCCGAAAAAGCTGGCCAAAGCTGCCCCCCAAAGCTGCTCCCCAAAGCGGTTCCCCGAAGCTGCTTCCCAAAGCTCTTCCCCAAAGCAGCTCTGCAAAGCGGTTGCCCCAAAGCGGCTATGCTTCAAACCTGTTCCCCAAAGCGGCTCCCCAAAGCTATTCTCCAAAGCGGCTCCCCGAAAGCTGCTCCCCAAAGTTGCTGCCGAAAGCTACTCCCCAAAGTTGCGTTCTAAAGCTAGTCACCAAACCCCAAAGCTGCGCTCCAAAGTTACGCCGCGTCCCAAAGAAGCTCCCCAAAAAAGCGCGCACAGGCCAAAGAAGCAAGCACAGTGTGCGCGGTAGAAGGCGGGTCCAGCAAGCGGGCAGTCTCGCAGAGGTGCGTGTTAGAAAGAGCACAGAGACAATAGCGCACAAGCTCGGCAAGCAAAGGCAATAGCAATAGCTCGCAGCGGCTTGGGACGGACCTAGGGGGAATCGAACCAGGGGAGAATCGAGGGACCGTCATGGGATTGCGACACGGGACCAGGACTGGACCGCGAAATGACAATCCAAAAAAAATGTTCTTATTTTGGAATTTTCGTTTTCTAAATTCCAAAATAATCGGATTATTTCGGTGCCATTGGGGAGGTCCTAAAAAGGTCGAGCAAAAGAATATTCACTATGTCTTCGTGCAGGCTAAAAAATTATTCGGCCAAAAGTCAAATAATTGACTTTTCTGCGATTTTCGGACCAGCCGATTTGCGTGCGCGCGCGGTGCCACCCTTACCGTAATGTTATTATTAATAATAATAATTATACTATACCAGTAGTACCGCACAAGGCGGTGGCGGAAGTTTCAAAAATAGGAAACCTATAGGAGAGGTTGGTTGTTGTGAATCAAGGATGGCAGAGCGAAGCCACTGATGGACCGAAAGGTGCTTGAGGTCTCCTCTCTTTCTCTCTCTTTCTCTGACTATCTACCTACCTACCTACCAATCTATCTATCTATGTATATATCTATCTATCGATCTATCTCTCTCTCTCTCTTTCATCTGTCTATCTGTCTATCTGTCTAGCTGTCTATCTCTCTATCTATCTATCTATCTATCTGTTTGTCTGCCTGTCTGTCTACCTGTCTATCTATGGTGCAGTGTCATTCAGTCTAATGTAGTGTAGTGTACTGTAATGTAGTGGAATGTAGTGTAGCGCAGTGTAATGTAGTGTAGTGTAGTGTATTATTGCTATGTAGTGTAAATTAGCGTAGTGGAGTGTAGTGGAGTGTAGTGGAGTGTAGTTGTAGTTGTAGTGTAGTTGAGTGTAGTGTAGTGTAATGTAGTGAAGTGTAGTGGAAGGCAGTGTAGTGTAGTGTAATGCAGTGTAGTGGAGTGTAGTGTCATGTAGCGTAGTGTAGTGTAATTTAGTGCAGTGGAGTGTAGTGGAGTGTAGTTGTGTAGTTGTAGTGTAGTGTAGTGGGATGTAGTGTAGTGTAATGTAGTGTAGTGGTGTGTAGTGGAGTGTAGTGGAGTGTAGTTGTGTAGTTGTAATTGTAGTGTTGTGGAGTGTAGTGTAGTGTAATATAGTGAAGTGTAGTGGGAGTAGTGTAGTGTAGTGTAATGTAGTGTAGTCGAGTGTAGTGTAATGTAATGTAGTGTAGTGTAATTGAGTGCAGTGTAGTGTAGTGGAGTGTAGTTGTGTAGTTGCAGTTGTAGTTGTAGTCTAGTGGAGTGTAGTGTAATGCAATGTAGTGAAGTGTAGTGGAAGATAGTGTAATGTAGTGCAGTGGTGTCTATCTGTCTACCTGTCTATCTATCTATCTGTAGCTAGCTAGCTAGCTATCTATCTATCTATCTATCCATCCGAATCCATCCATCTACCGTGTACTGATGCGATCCTCATATTCCTAAATTGAAACTTCAACAGCTCCTACAGTGTTAACACAACAGATTACAAACGCATGACAAAATCTAGCACATCCCTCTGACGCGTCTCCCTCACGGTGTCGCCACAGTGTGTTTTTTTCCAAGCAGCAACGGACAAGAATCTTCGGCCGGGCTTGCAATGAAGTGCAAATGCTCGAGTGCATCATCGTGCAGTCAGAAAAGACACACACGCTGGCCTGCAACGAATTCTTCGTCGTGCAATGACTCACGGATGCGGCAGCGCGATCGGATGCAATGAATGACAACCCAACATCGGATGCAACAGCGGTAGCAAAAAAGAAAAAAAGGAATTCCAATACTAGTGCCTAGCTCCTCCCTGCTGCATCCCACGTTTGTTTATCGATCTATCTATCGATCAATCTATCTATATGTTATATGTCTGTCTATCTATCAATTTTTCTATCCATCTATCCATCGAGCTAACTATCTCTCTATCTGTTTGTCTATCTGCCTCTCTATCGATCAAATGCTCTCTCTGTCTATATATATATATATCTCTCTCTCTCTATCTGTCTGTCTGTCTATCTGTCTATCTGTCTATCTATCTGTCTATGTCTCTACCCATCTATTTCTCTATTTGTCTTGGTGTCTAACTATCTGTCTATGTGTCTATGTATCTATCTGTCTATCTCGCCATCTATTTCTCTAGCTGTCCCTCTGACTATTTATCTATCTGTCTGTCTATCGATCTATCTATTTATCTATCTGTCTGTCTGTCCATCTATCTATGTATCTATCTCTCTGTCTATCTATCTATCTATCTATCTCTCTATCTATCTCTCTCTCTCTGTCTATCTATCTATCTATCTATCTCTCTCTCTCTATGTATCTATCTATCTCTCCATGTATCGATCTATGTATCTATTGATGTATCTATCTATCTATCTATCTATCTATCTGTCTATCGATCTGTCTGTCTTTCTGTCTGTCTATCTGTCTAGCCATCTATCTATCTATCTATCTCATCTACCCAGCTGGCCTCTCTCTCTCTCTTTCTTTCATCTAATTACCTATCTATCTATCTATCTACCTAGCTGTCTATCTATTTCTCCCTTTCATCTGCCTATCTGTCTAGCTGTCTATCTGTGTTGCAGTGTCATTCAGTGTAATGTAGTGTGGTGTAGTGTAATTTAATGTAGTGGAGTGTACTGGAGTGTAATGTAGTGTAATGTGGTGTACTGGAGTGTAGTGTAGTGTAGTGTCCTGTAGTGTAGTGTCTTGAAGCGAAGCGGTATCTGAACCTCCAAAAGTGGTCCGAACCCCTACTGTTTTGTACATTTTGACGCCACAACGGCGTGTACTTTTGCGACATCCGAACCTCCAAAAGTGGTCCGAACCCCTGGTGTTTTTAACATTTTGATTTGGAAATGTGCTTCGCGCCACAACGGCGTGCACTTTTTCAACATCCGAACCTCCAAAAGTGGCGCGAATATGTGGTGTTTTGTACATTTTGACTTCGAAATGTGCTTCGCGCCACGACGGCGTGTACTTTTTCGACATCTCAACTTCCAAAAGTGGTCCGAACCTGGTGTGCTTCGCGCCACAAAGGCGTGCACTTTTTCGACATCTCAACTGCCAAAAGTGGTCCGGGGCTGGTGTGTTTTGTACATTTTAACTTCAAAATGTGCTTCGCGCCACAACGGCGTGCACTTTTTCGACATCTCAACTTCCAAAAGTAATCCAAGAAGGTGTGTTTTGTACATTTTAACTTCAAAATGTGCTTCGCGCCACAACGGCGTACAATTTTTCATCTGGCCAGCTGGCTCCGCAACCGCCGCTTTAGCGAGCCTACTTTTCGACCCTCCGGAGCCCCAAATCATTAGAAAAACACAGTAAATCGCGACTTTCCTACCTTTTCGCGCATCTGCATCTTCTTTCTTCTAACTCTTTCTCTTCTACTCTTCTAATCTTTCTCTTCTCTCTGCCTCTGCCCTGCTCTTCATCTGTCCATATTGTCGGAAGTTTGACTTCTAAATTTCCTTCGATTATTGCTACTCTTATTTTTTAAATATCAATATTAATATGTTATTATAATTAACATATTAAAATATATTTCATATAATTTTTGAGATTTTAAATATATTATTATATTATAAAGATTTTACACACACACACATATATGTATATATATATATAAATTTTAGATTTTCTTTTTATATATTACTATTACTATTAGTTATATGAGCCACGGTCGAAATTTATTATTTACGCCAAGTGCGTCATCAAATTAGTGAGTCCCCTATCGTTTTACAGGCTTTCCTGTTTTTACATATTTTGACAATTATTTACCTCTGTTTGAGCTTAGTTTTGAAGCGCGTCCACTTGGATCCTCATCCCTGGCGATCTTTGTTTGCGCGCGTTGGAGCGCACTTGTGCTTTTGCCCGTGCCTGTCTGGTCCTCCTTCGCGCTGCTTGGGCGGTTTCTTCAACCAGCAGGTCTTTTGGAAAGAAAATGGGTTTTGGCATGATTTGGCCACTCACAGCTGCTAACCTCAAAATTTATCCAGCCGGGGCCCGGGCACAAAACTTTAGTCCATCACTACAACATACTACCAACATCCACCACCTGTTCCGCCTGTTTTGTGACCAGTCGTTCACCCGGGGCGCTTTTGGAAAGATTTTAATATCGTTTGGGTATCGTTTTGGGTATCGTTCTGCGTGGGCTCCATCTTTGCAAGTCACATGCGTGCGAGACTGAATGAATAGCTCGCCGCGGTCTACCAAAGTTAGGCCAGGCAGCAAAACGAGATACTGCATGGAGTTGGCCACTCCAGCTTGCCTACGCTGCCTGCGAATAGATGCATGGTTTCCGTAATCAGCTCTCGGTGCCGAGTTTAAGCAGCCCACCTAGGTGGCTAAAGAAATCTACAGTCATGTAAAGTCAACCCACCGCATGGGCACACCCATTCATGGTGAAGTGGTTCCAACCGTGAAAAAACAACCCTGCCTAAGCAAACACTATGCCCACACCACAAAACGCGCAAGCATGCGCAATCAAAAAAAGTATCGTTTTTTTGTGAGTCCCCTATCGTTTTAGCAGGTTTCATGCAACAGCCAACATCCGATGCACACTCCAGTACATACTTAATCAGCGCAAATTTTGACGGAATCTCATATATTTATTTATTTATATTTTATACTTAGATTTTAATACATTTATATATAATATATCCATATAATATTTCAATTGATGTTTTCAGTTATTTTCAAGCAATATTTTTTGATATTTCGAATATAATAGTGATATAAAACTCCATGCCATGAAAGAATCAGAATGCTATTTTATGCCATTTCTAAGTGAAACTGGTAAATCTAGTGTGCAGGATAAAAATCCAAACAGGATTTTGATTGTGACAGCCATGCGTAAGCATAATATTTTATAATCATGTAAGACTATATAATATAAGACTATACAGTCTATACACATTTGCGACTTACAGCACCAGCTCTCAACTTAGCAGCAGGGTGGGCAGCCCTGATATCCAATCAAAGACTGTAGGTAGCTTCGTCCCGCATAGCAGCTTGTAGAATGGACACCTCGAAGATTATCAGGTACTTGTTTTACTTCTTCGAGCATCCGAAGCAGGTAATTCTACCATCTGTTGCACGCACAAAGATATTTTTACCTCCATTTTTTGGAGCATGTTTACGTAGATGTATATCATTTTGAAAGCGGCTTGCAGCAATTGTAATTGCCATTCCTCCATCGATGTTAACATTGCTGGTGCCTGGTGATGGACACAATGGATGAATCATACTGCAGCCAAACCTAGATCAACATGCCAGATCAATTTGCACTAGCGCTCTCTTGGTACACAATTATCAAGGCTGCGTTGTCCTAGTCTGCTGGAGGAATTTGAAGCTATACAAATGAGCAGCTGGAAGCAACAAAACCCCCAAACACAACATACTACAGAATCCATATAATATACATGCATACCAGTAGTACCGCACAAGGCGGCGGCGGAACTTTCCAAAATAGGAAACCTATAGGAGAGGTTGGTTGTTGTGAATCACGGATGGCAGAGCGAATCCAGTGATGGACCGAAAGGTGGTTGGAGTTGTGATTCTTGGAGTGGTTGCACTAGTTGCAGTGGTCACCCCACCACAACTGCTGGATGTAGCGTGGTGTAATGCAGTTGTAATTGTAGTTGTAGCGTGGTGTAGTGTAGTGTAGTGGAGTTGTGGTTGTATGTAGTGTAGTTAGTGTAGCGTAGCCGCACTTGTAGTTGTAGTGTGGTGTAATTAGTGTAGTGTACTGTAGTGTTGCGTGCTCCAGTGTGGTATAGTGTAGTGTAGTCTAGTGTGGTGCACTGTAAAGTAGTGTAGTTGTAGTTGTAGTGTAGTGTGTAGTGTAGTGGAGCTGTATAGTGTATGCAGGGTAGTGTGGTGTAGTGTAGTGTAATTAGATGTAACTAGATGTAATTTAGTGTAGTGCAGTGTAATTAGTGTAGCGTAATGTATCGTAATATATTTGTGTTTGTAGGTGTAGCTGTAGCTGTAGCTGTAGTAGTAGTAGTCGTCGTCGTCGTCGTAGTCGTAGTGGTAGTGGTAGTGGTAGTTGTAGTCGTAGTCGTCTATCTATCTATCTATCTAATCTATCTAATCCATCTATCCATCTATCTAACCTATCTAACCTATCTAACCTATCTAACCTATCTAATCTACTAATCTACTAATCTACTAATCTACTAATCTACTAATCTACTAATCTACTAATCTACTAATCTATCTATCTATCTATCTATCTATCTATCTATCATACATATCTATATCTGCAAGATTGAAAACGAAGCTATTCTGCGAGACTTCCTCAATTTTTCAAGTTGACCACATCGAAAACGAAGCATTTCTTCGAAAACGAAGCAATTCTGGGAGACTTCCTAAACTTTCGAAGTTGACAACATCAAAAACGAAGCAATTCTGCGAGACGTCCTTCAAAAATGGAAAGTTGAGTGCAGAGCTGACGGCCTCTTACCAATGCGTTTTGCGATTTTTCCAGTCCACCTGTCTAAACTACTGCGCCTGCCACGAAAAAGTGGTGCCAGGTCATACGAAGTGCTGCACCTGTCACGCAAAATAATCTCAGCAAAACTGAAGATCTGATGCCAAAATGCAACCTCTCTCAGGAAACCAGCGCCCTATGAACATGTCTCTTGTACTGCGCCTGCCACGCGATATGCGATATGCATCTTTCCAGATCCTCTTCAAATGTCCCACGCCTGCCATCGTTTTTGAAACTGCCACAAAACCCTCATGTTTTGCTCACTTTTGGCAGGGTGGAGAAGCCCTAGCGCCTGCCACACAAAACGACGCTTCAACGTCTAAAAGTGGCACGAACATGTGGTGTTTTGTACATTTTGACTTCGAAATGTGCTTCGCGCCACAACGGCGTACACTTTTTGAACATCTCAACTTCCAAAAGTGCTCCGAGGCTGAGGTGTCTTGTACATTTTGACTTCGACATGTGCTTCGCGCCACAACGGCGTGCATCTTTTCGACATCGCAACTTCTAAAAGCGTTCCGAAGCTGAGGTGCTTTTAGCTTTTTCACTTGCAAATGTCAACGCCGTGCGCTTTTTCGACATCTCAACTTCAAAAAGTGCTCCGAACCTGGTGTGCTTTGTGCATTTTGACTTGGAAATGTGCTTTGCGCCACAACTCAACGGCGCGCAACTTTTCATTCATCTCTCATCTGACCACATGGCTCCGCACCCGCCGCTTTAGTGAGCCTACTTTTCGACCCTCCGGAGCCACAAATCATTGGAAAACACAGTGTTTCGCGACTTGCCTACCTTTTCGCGCACCTGGATCTTCTTTCTTCTGAGACTTTCTCTTTTTTGATCTTCTTTCTTCTTCTCTTCTCTGACTCCGCCCATCTCTGCTTTTCATCTGTCCATATTGTCGGAAGTTTGACTTCTAAGCTTCCTTCGATTATATAATATATATGTCATTATATGTCCGTATGCATATTTATTGATGCGTATGTCTTGTCATCATTTGTGGCATGTGAGCGTGATGTAAGACAATCCCAAATAGATCCAAATAGGGAAGGCATGAATCGAGCCAAGTCAGCCTCGAAATTCACGTTCGATATATGCAAAGCAGCATAGGTAGTCATGTCAGGCCTCAGCGAAGGGAACGCCCACAGAACAATAGGGACATTCAAATTCAAGGTCGCTGCTGTAACATCCAGAAAAATGCAAGAGCACCCTCGGAGCCCTCGGAGCCCTGCTGCAAATGCTGTCCTCAGAGGACAGTGGGGTAGCGCCATGGGCCATGTTTATCTTGCAAAGCTCCCATGCAAATTTGCGCAAATATCATGAGCAGTTCACTTCCCATGTCGTCGAACAACAGCTTTGCACAGGGCTGCCCTCGGCAAGCACTGAAGGCAGCATTGAAACCTAAGGTCGTACGTGCGCTTGTGCAGAACGGTGGGTCCTCTTGATGGACTTTGAATAAGATTATCGGGCTCGATTTGTTTAGCCCTCCAATCATCAATCAGAACTGATCGTTGTAAAAGCCGCCAAATAGCTCAAGAGATCTGGCTTCAAATCTTTTGAGATCAATGCATCCAACCTCAGGCCAAACGCACTTACACACCAAAGACAGCACGCTTAACTGCATCAGAATACCCCAGCGTCACAAACAAGCAATCAAGTCCGGAGTTCGCACATGCAAGCATCGCCATGTATCTCCAACCAATGCATGCTAAACCTTGGTTCCTCACCTTTCATCTGCAGAAAAACATGAAGCTCAGAACCCTGTGTTTCCAAGCATAGAACACGTACAATGGACTAGAGTGACTAGAACTTTTGAAAAGGCGACATAGCCACTGCAAAAAAAAGACAAGCTGGGTGAGCAAGATCCAGAAATATGGAGAAGGATCGAACAATCAAATACATGACGTGGAACATGGGCGCTTCGCTTGTAAGCCAGGCAGACCTAGAAGCTAGATTTTAGATGCCCACAGATGCATTCAATCATTCACCAGGCCACCCAAACCGCTTCCAGATCATTGCCTTTGTTGAATTGAAGCTTTGTCCTATTCTAGGGTGACTGATCAAGAGTTCTCATAAGATAGTATGTGGCTAGAGTAGCTAAGCAACGTGCTCACGAGACATGTGCCCCATGTAACATCATCCTGGGTCCATGACCATGTGGATACAAAGGAAATGAGACGATACAAGTGGTAGTGATGAAACTTGGGTGACAGGAACTGGACCTGCAACTCCAACTTCGACCTGACTTGGCCAAGACAAAGGCAACTTGAGCGAGTGAAGAGCAGGTGAGCAGACACTTGAGAACACGCACGCACAAACACATGCACACACACACACATACGCATGCACACACAAACATCAATAGAATCAAAAAACATATGTAGGTATTATATATATATATATTATAAATATATAATTCAAATGCTGCATATTGTTCTAGTTTGCATAATACATGGACATATAGTAGATAAATGTAAATACGCTATGTTAAAATCATGTGTGTACTCAGAAAAGAAACCAAAAAAGCAGCAAACCTGCTGTGAGCCTCAAATATCCTCAAATAAAATTCGAGGAACTGAAACTTGAGGCCCACAGGCAAGTGACGAAAGCTAGCTTGGCAGGGAGCTTGGCATGAAAACGCCCAGTATACTCGCAAACTCATCTGTACTAAGGGACATTTTGTCCAAGACACGGTTTTCCATGTCTTGGTAAAGAGATGTAAAGAGTATGGAGTGAACTGGACACATTGAAGGGGGATCAATGTCACATATGAAGAGAACACAAATATATCACGCGCGTGACCATAATGAGGAAAATCCACTCGGTAGCGTGGCGGTCACTAAGCACGAAGAAGGTTCAAGGGTCCACCTTCAGCATTGGAGTGGACCTTTTAAGGCTTAGAAGTTGCAAGAGAAGAAGATGTTGGAAGCACGTCTCCATTGTTCAAACTGACTGGAAACTACACGTGAAGGTTCAAAATGAACATGAAACTACGTGTTAGATGTTTTAGGGCTCGCCATGAACATGCCGATAGTGAGCGACGCCGTACCAGTGACTTGAAGCGTGCGCCAGTGACCGCTACTGATTATTGACGACGCCAATGATGCTGAGGATGGGGATGCTCCCGATTTTGCTGCCGGAGGCGGCATGCCAACAGCGTCCCAGAGGGGATTGAGCCACGGCAAAAACTGCTTGTGAACCAGCCAGCTGGGGGGGGTAGTTAACTATGAAGTTTCATGCGATTGGAGATTCCAGCCCTCCCAATACCTTGCTATAGCGAGAGAGACTTCAGCTAGCAGAAGCTAGCTTTTGTATGCTTTTGTGATGAGCAAATCAGATCAAATCAGTACCAAGCCAAGATGCAGCACAATGAGACTGCGCCATTGACTTTGGCGATCACATGCGCTCAATGCAGCATTGTAGGTCACCTGCTGGGTGTACCCCCAGGGTCGAAGCAGAACACAATTGAATACTACACTTACAATGAACATCAAGGAACTATGGATGGTCACCGGCTGCATTTACGCCCGGACAGACCGACATGACACACGCCGACTGCCCACATTCGTGGGCCTTCCGATTGTACGCCAAGGCCGCCAAGGCACTAGGTTAGGGAATAAGCGCAGCAACGGCATCAACAGCAAAAGTTCCAAGGCCATGGTCCACTTCGCGGCCTTTTCACAAGCGCTGATGCTTGCCTCCACCGAGTTACACAGGTTACACAGGTTACACAGTTACACAGGTGACACAGGTGACACCCGCAAGGCGGAGTCTCTCTTCTGCGCTTCGAAGTGCACATTTGAATCGTGCTGGGGGGGGCACCTGCACTGCGGTGGGCATACTACTAAGGTATACTAAGCTAATTCGACTGAGCTACGCTGTGACTCACCACGTCCCTGTCCATGGCGGAAGAGAGGCCAAGGGCAACACGCCAAAGACTTCCGCTTGATTTTTCACAGGCGCTTACTGCACCACTGTAGCTTAGGGTGTTCGGTTCCACGTTAGTGGAAGCCATGTGAAGCAAAAGGGCCACAGCATTTGACCATTCGCACCTGGCAGAAGCAGCCAAGACTGGCAGCCATCAAGTCTTCAAGGGTTTCTGTCTGTCCTTTTCTTTTCCAAGTTCCTTTCCACCTCTTTCTTTTGTCTCTGTTTGGCTGTGAGAATTCGACAGGATTTGACAGGACTAGATATGTCTAGACTTCTTGGCTCTGCACCCCTTTTCACACGCGCTGATTAGAGCACTGAAACCTCAGCACGCTGCATGTAAAAAGCTGCCCTGTGCAGCCGCATGGATCACCAGCATGTCCAACATATTCCAAAATATGTCATTGTGTCCCACTATGGATGTCAAGCTGCTGATAGCATCTGGTAGAATTCCTGCGAATCTGTTCATGTAGCGGACCACGTCCAGTGCTTGCAGCCACAAACCAAGCTTTTCGCAGGCACTGATGGTCGCGCCGAAACCTGAGAAATGTTCAGGTTCAGTGCACCCAAACTCACCTGCAAATGATGCGGCAAACTTATCTGGATCTGGAAAGAGAAAAACTTTGAGAGCCGGTTCACCAAACCGTGGGTGGCTACCCTCAATATAGCTTGGTCCCAGTGGCTGAGCTGATTGGGCACAACTACCTTTTGCTGCATATCCTCTACCAAAGTAGCGCCCTCGCGCCAAAGCCCGCCCTTCTCGCAAGCAGTTAGTGCCTTGCTGTTTTGAGCTGGCGAGAGAAGTGCGATGTTGAAGCAAACAGAAGATGTGTCAACTTGGTTTGAATTGCAGTTGTCTTGTTGAAGGCAAGCCCTGCACCCGGTTCGGCACACATGGCAGGCACTTCCCAAGACTATCCCAAGGCTCTTTCCATGCGAGTCTCTGCAGTAGCTGGATCTATGCATGAAATATCATGAAAGGCCCATGGCTTCATCAATAAGACCATGCTAGGCTCACTGGAAGCTCCAGCCAAACGACGACAGAACTACGTCCTACGTAGTGCAAACAATCGTGGAAGAGAGCACACTCTACTCTGTATATGTCCGAACTGAAGTAGCAAACAAATCGCCTATTTCTAGTAGGTTGCTTCCTTTTTCATGAATGTCAATTCTTCAAGCAAGAGACTGAGCTTGAATGGTAGACGTTGAGCTGCAATCTTTGCCCTTGAAGCCTTTGCTTGTCAAGCAGACTTCAAACACACGATTCCGCAATTTTCCCCACAAAACAGCGAGATGAGATAAGGTGAGATAAGGCATCTGTCATCTTCCCATGCGAATCCAAGCGACACATCTAGAAGCTCCAGAGCTGCACGAGGACGGCCCGCACCTGAAATCGCTGTGATGATGGAAATATGACGGCACTCATGGACTGCAAAAGAAGAGCCCTGCATCGCGATGCTATAGCTAACTGAGCCCACTAACCAACGTGCTGTTTACGCATTTTTGGAAAAAAACAGCCTATGTAATATACACTGATCCTCACACTATGTATATAGACAGTCTTTCTCAAACGAAGCAGGCTCGACATGTGACACATATTTCAGCCAAAGGCACGCGCCAATTTGCTCAGCATCCATGTTGCAAGCTTTGGGTCTTGAGCATGACTCTCCAACTCTCCGAATAATATTGCTACTTTTACCTCAGTAAGCCAGCCACCTGTTCATGAGCCCAACACTCCATCCTAAAAATACAACATAATACAACCTTATTCATGCTGCTTGGTGTTCTGTTTGCAAATGCCTTAGTGAGCGAAGATATAGGGTGAGAATCGTCGTACTAAACTGCTCCTCACGGCCACTTCCTGGCCTCCCAATGTCATCGTGTAACAACTCAGCTGGTTTGAACCCTGCTAAGTCACATCCTCCCGTGTTGGACTGGTTCCAGCGCCCAGGACGCGTTTCAATGCAGTGTGCAGGGCAGCAGCATTCGCCATACAGGGTTCCCATGGCAGAGGTTCGACAGCGCTTGGGCTTGGTGAGATGGCCTGTGAAGATCCTGGCTGAACATGAAAAGAGCTGACATAGCTTGACCATTTGCGTTAGGACGGGTCCTGTGAGCCTTGGCAAGAAATCTATAGCTTGTTTCAAGAGCATTCACAAGCATTATGCCATGAACATATACGAACACGAGCAATTCCTTAAAACATGAAGAAAGTCAGCTGCAGCGTATAAAGTCCGCGAAATGCAAGTGAACATGTTGATCATATTGGCAATCAGAACATTGGAAGGAATCTATTACAAATGGAGGCATGGAATGCCACATGACATCTTTTCCTCGAATTTCGTAGAGGGACTGCGTCCTCACCAAACATCTTACAAATTTTGTAAGACGAGGATTCCTCACTCTGGCCCACACAAGTCAGTTTGCTGGCAGCCTCTCGCAAATCCATCGGCAAAGGCAGCTCTGTTTTGTAGACTTCTCTTTCTGCATTCCGGAACGTGAGGCTCCACCTTCCCGCAGTCAAACTTCTGGTGAACATCGCCCTTTGAATAATGACACACATGTATGATATATAGCTGGATCAGTTTGCCCGCCGTGAAAGCTGCATAGCATATTCACTCTGACTCTGACTCTTTCGAAGTGTGCAGATCCTCTCACTCACTCCCTATGACTGCATGGCACCACGCCTGTGCAAGAAGTTTCTGGCACAGAATGCAGAGTCTGACTGAAATGTTTCCGCGGAGGTATACCTTCCATCGCTTACAGTGGGATGCCCAATGTGCATACAATGGCTTCTTATTTGATGCCTCCGGCCAGTAAGGACTCGAATCAGCATCATTGTAAAAGTACCTTGGGAAATCAAAAGTCAAACCGCAAAGCTCAAACTCCATGATGTTGCAGTATGAGCAGCCCTCGCTGATTGTGGGCTGATTTGGCCAAGATTCTGCCAGTGGCCCCAGCCAATGCAAGCAGTTTAGAGAGTCGCGTCCGTGATGGCTTGCCTTGCCCTCCTGATCGCGTTGGCGAGTTCCCTTTCCAATGGAGCCTGGCCAGGGCCGATCTAGGGTAGAAAGGACATACAGTACAAGTCTCCAGGGGACTTTAGGTCCTTAAGCTGGGCGAATCCTCTGAACTCAGGACCGAGGGATGAATTGGGGCACACTTTAAACTCCATGTTGCTGTTTTGTGATACGCACCCACGGTATGACATTGGGCTTTTCCCCAGTAACCAGAATGATTCAGAATGATAATCGAATGATGTTGAAGGTATGAATTATTTGGTTGTTTTCCATGTTTTCCAACATAGGAATGGAATGGAATGGAAACCAGTTTGAAGCCCTGGCACCTGGCATCTACTTTCCTTCGCTTCAGCCAGCCATGGTTTAGAACCACGTAGTCGCGGCCAATCATCCCAGAACGCAATTGAAGCTGCAAATCATAGTAGGCCCCATAAGTTGTGGCTACCAGAATCAAGCCAGAACTAGGTACGTCAAGGCGATGCAAAAATCCAAAGTCAAATTCTGGGTCCCAAAGGATGGGCCAACTGCCCAACGATCTCAGCCATGTGTGCAGCTGTCTTGGCGTGCCAGCATCATGAACCTCCCACCCTGGAGGCTTTGAAACAACCACGCGATCTATAAGGCCAAGGGTGATGGATGGCTCGACGTCTGTATCTCCATCGTCTCCGCTACCCAATGCCACAACTTGGGCCTGAACAGCGTGCCTCTTGCAGTCACGGGCATGTTAAAGCCTTGGCACATCTTACACATCTTGATCATCTTGACACATGAAGTTCTTTGAACATCTATGAGCTCCAACCTTGGCTCGACATATCTCGGCCCGTATCACAGTAAATAGTGGAGATTAGTGGAGTCACTAAAGGTGTCACGCATCATGATGCGACATGATACGTATTAGGACTAGCCGACTAGCCCCGCATGGTGAAACCAATGCTGATTGGACTTGAACCCTGTGGCGTCAGACGCCTTGGTGCCCTCGTCCTTTGCATCTTGAATTCTGTCCCGATGTTGCCCTGCTTCCACAACCAAATTCCAAGCACCTGACAGGGCTGATTGCATCACAGTTTGTCACCTTCTGTCAAACCTTGACGTTCTCTTCTCAAAGTGTAAGACATCGTAAGAAAGAAGCAGTCTGATAGAGGAACAACATGCTAACAACATGCCAACAACACACGGGATAAATGATGTTGAATGATGGGAAATGCTGGACACTGATGGACACTGATGGTAAATGCTGGAACATGATACATATTATTGATACATATTGATACATGTTTTTTGCAGTGCCTTCTCGAAAGTGTTGGCTGAGACAATCAGCAAAACTGCATGCCCAAAGCACTCCAAGGATGTCTTCAATCTGGCCTGAGCTCTCAGAGATCTCGTTGTGAATCGCTGAGGCTACACCCCACCAAACCATACCAAACCAATATTCAACGCCTCTGACCACCATCATCTTTAAGTATTTTCATATATTTTCATAGTATAGACGAGGCACAATCAGCCTCCTTCGCATCTTTCACATCCGTCTCGAAATCCCGATTTCTTTCCATGCGGTCCATACGCCTGATCACCTCACCCTGAATTGCCATCAAAAGGTGAGGCGCCACTGACGCACTTCCCCATGAGATAAGCTGGAGTTCCTTCATGCCTGCGTTGACAAAGAAGGCACCGCACAAAACCAAAGAAGGCAAGTTCCAAACATCCAAAAAGTGCAAAGAATCAACAAAGGAGCTCATTCTGAGTGGCTGAGTGGCTCAGCTGGTCCAAAACCTTGTGGAGATGCTTCAGATGTCTTTGAATGCTAGAGCTTGCAACTCCCAAAGTGCCCGCAGCCCAGCAAAGCTTTGGAAGATCGTGGAGCGCTACTGACCCAACCTGTTGCTTGTCACACAGAAACCAAACATAAGAACAAACAACAAGGCAATGTGGTACCTTGTTGCATAATGAGTCTAATTAGACAGAGTTGGATCCACCAGTTTACAATACCTGGTTGGCACAGGGGTTGTTCGTCAAAATCTGCCTGTGCCAAAGACTTGCACATCTTGCACACTTGCACTCGGTCCTGAACGGTGAGCCTGGCCATAGCCCAAAGAATGGATGCAGAGATGGAGGACGATGATGCAGATGATGCAGATGGTGCAAATGATGCAAATTCATTTTGATATCTGCTGAGGAGGTTCTTTCCCACGGATATGTCAAATTGGTCGCACATTCGCATGGCAGCACTCAGGCTCATGTGGTCCGGCTCTGGCGTTTCCTCCAGCATTGCCAGGACCCACCGCCAGTGGTCACCAGCATTGGTCAGTATGTTGTAGCAAGCCGTGTCCGGAGTGATTGAATTCCACTGAATGCAGGTCAAAGAACTGAGAGCTGACATCCATTTCAACGTGGTTCCGGCTGTATGAAGCACACCTGTGTGGCTTCGCAGATCAAGTTGAAGCCACGTTACCTGAAGATACCTGAACAAATCAATACTCTGCCGCCACATCAGCGGTGCTGCGCTGTAGCTGGCGGTGTTTAGCTGCACTGCAGCCTCCTCGAAGTTGACTATGAAAGATAGGGCCTGCCAGATTGGCACAGCCATGACAACCCGAACCCGTGATACTAAGTGACCAAACGGGCGGGCCCAACAGGTGAATCGGCAGCTATGAAATGCCATGAAATTCCATGAACAACATTGAAAAACAACGAAACACATCCAAGAACAAGGTAACGGCGTTGATAAGAGGCCGTGCAGTGGTGTAAGATCGACATTCCATCATAATTGTTCAATTTCAATTTCGTGAGGGTTTTTTTAACATTTTCATCGTATCATGTTGTTTTGAATGAGCTTAAAACCACGTAGTGTTCACCGAAAATGTTGATTTTTGAGGGTTTTACCTCATAAAATGGCATTTTTTAATGACAACCCTTGTTTCCGAAACTTTGTGTGACATGAATATTGACCTTTTAAGGGATTCACAGGCACAGCTTTGCCAACTTATATACATTCCTTGCGAGCTGTCCCAGCTTCTCGAGCACCTGTGGGCCGGCATGCTTTCTCCAGACCGCAGACCACAGGTACTGCCACAGACTTTGGAAGTCTTTGCGGGCATCTTTATGAGTGTGGAGCTGTCGAGGGAATGGCTTCTTCAACCAGTCCCAGCGCCGATCCAAACTCTGTATGCCAGCCAAAGAAGAAGCGCAGGGACGTGGTTTGCGACCCAAACCTTTCACAAACTCACCACGATTGTGTTTGACTTGTTCAAACTTTAATCGTTTGCCAGGCACTTGCTGCTTTGCAGCCCCTTGCATGACGTATGTGTGGAAGTGCAAGAGAAACCTAGCAGTAGCGTAGCATGACGTATGTGTGGAAGTGCAAGAGAAACCTAGCAGTCGCAAAGAACGTTAACATCCCCCCCTCACTCCCCCCCACCCCCCCAATGACAAGAAGAACACAGAAAAGAAAAAAAATGAAGACAGCACACGGCCCCTTAACAGCGCCGACACCAAGAACACTATATAATAACATATAATAACACCATGTCACCATGTGCTGCATGTGCGATTGGAGGCCTTTTGCCATGGATTGCCGAAGTCCCCACTGTCTCCACGCATCGTGCTTAGCATGGAGGTGATGCTGAACACTCCTGCATGCAGCGCAAAGAACGTGACACACATCGTGAGACATATTGGACAATATTCGAAAAGCTTTCCACATCTTTCTACCATTCCATCCCGTTCAATCAGATGATATCACGTCACATCAAATGCGTTGTGTGCAATGCATTGCGTACACTTGATTCGCTACACTGGGCACACATTCTCTACAGCGCATAGACGCCAAAGAAATTTATATAAGTATGCATGGGGATATGCACGTGGCATAGCATAGTACCTTGTACACAGATTGCATTTTGACTCACATGTGATCAGGTATATATAGATATATTATACACAGTAAACACTGTATATATATATACAATAGCATACCTGAGAAGGGGTGGAACGAAAGCCAGCGCTTGCTTTTTGACTCGCGCGGGGGCGCGTGAAACTCCACCTCATCCATATGGCATGGCTCAAACATGAAGCGCCCCAACATCAACAATTGCTATCGGGTCATAAGTTTCCAATCATTAAATGGACCTTTTTAGGGTAAACTCCACGATTTTGTAACTTCTATATCCAAATATGTTTCCTACAATGTACTGCGGCATTGTGAAAAGTTCTATATCAAGTTCCGCAAATCCGCCTTTGGTTGCTCATTTATCTTAAAACTTAAAACAGCGCAAGTTTGCTCCCACCTATTGTAGATAAAAAACACCCGCTTTTTTGTGTGAACAGTGGTCATGTGACCTCTCAAAGTCTAAATTGTTTTCTCCCCAGAATCGTGGTCCATGCTTCTCCGCGAAGTTCCGCAACATTTTGGCCGTACGGTGAGAAATCAAAACATAGCTCTACTCGCAAAATGGGCAGTGCAAACCCAAGACAATATTATAACATACGTAAGAAAGGGTATAAGAACGAATGAAAATCGAGGAAAACAACACAAAACCCACGGGAAATATAGAACAGTGGCGAACATGCAGTCCAAATCAAAAGTATATATATATATTTAGGCCATTTACAGACCTGGGTGCCCCCCCCCACCCCCCAAGGGTCTGGAAAATAGGTATTTTACAGGAAATGTCGCGGAATAGCATCATCCCTGACATCGATAGAGATAATTGTTTGGCATCCCGGAAAATCTTCTCAGCTATCACACTCGCCAAACATCCCTTTTAAAAGGCACACATACTATCACGGACGTACAGATGCATATCATTCCCGTCATTGCCATTAGAAGATTCAAATTCTTTCTCGATGTTTTAGTACAAGATTCACTTTTAGTTCTGTTTCAGCCTTCTCAGTACGGCCTCTTACAATGATATTAAAGCATTTGTCTCCTAACCTAGGTGGCTCCTGGGCGCAATCTTCATTCCAATGCTTTGTGACAATAACCAGAGGCCTGGAGCCTATGCATCACTTGACAGTCGACTCAGTTCTAAACCGGAAAGACTATTCCTTCCGTTTACCAGTAGATCGTTTTTGTAGTTCTTATCACAAAACTACCAGAATCAGGGAGGCACCAAAAAACGTCAAACAGCTTTAAGCATTATAAATACTCTAATCTGCAGATTGTATTTATTTTTCTTACTCTGTGAACGAAATCACACTTTTCTAACTTCACACAGATTACCATGAAACCAATTTTCCCATGCAACTCCTAAAATCTTACAACTCATACATCTTTTTTCCTATACCATCCGCATCTTGCTCCAAGGTTTCATGGCAATGTCTTGTACGCGAGTCAGCCACTATTTCCTATCACCAAACTACATTGCTCATCATCTAACATTATCTACAGAAACCAAATCGGATTTCCTGCTCAACGTTTCCGCTCGTTGACATTGTCTTGGTTTTCACTGTATTTTTAAAGCATTTTTAGTTATAACATTTTCCTAGGTTTTCACTGTATTTTTCTAACATGTTACATGCCTCCTAGCATGTTCACGCGTGTCCTCCATGTTGTACTGTTTTCTACATCGTTTCCTCTAGTTGTTACAAGCATTTCCTAGCTTGTACACCGTTTTCCTAATATTGTCACAACTTTTCTTCCAGTTTCCACTGCTTTTTCTCCCGTTTCCTGTGGTTACTTTCTTCTCTTTTGTAGGTTTTCACTGTGTTTTGTCCAGCTTTTTTTATTACATGTTTCCTACCATTTTCACCGCTTTCCTCTATCGCTTTTTGTACCATGTCCTCTCGTTTCCTGCATTTCATGCATTTTCAATATGTTGTTCCAAGAGTTTTACCCGTCTCCTTCAGTTTCCGATCGTTTTTGCACCATTTCCTCTGGTTGTTATCGCATTTTCCTGCACTTTCACTGTATTTTTCCAGCATGTTTACTGCATCGTCATAGTTTGTTCCTAGCAGTCGCTCCGGTTTCCTCCATGTTCCAACAGATTTTGCACCCTTTATTCTGGTTGTTATCACATTTTCCTGCCAGGTTGTTATCACATTTTCCTTCACTGTATCTTTCCAGCATTTTCCAGTGGATTTTGCACGATTTCCTCTGATTGTTATCATGTTTTCCTGCAGTTTCTATATCCTCTTCGTGGGTTTTCAGTCTATTCATGCATTTTTAATCTATTTTTCCAAGAGTTTTACCCGTCTCCTTCATTTTCCGATCGTTTTTGCACCATTTCCTCTGGTTGTTATCGCATTTTCCTGCACTTTCACTGTCTTTTTCCAACATGTTTACTGCATCGTCATAATTTGTTCCTAGCAGTCACTCCGGTTTCCTCCATGTTCCAACAGATTTTGCATGGTTTGTTCCTAGCATTTTCCTCTGATCGTTATCATGTTTTCCTCAAGTTTCATTGTATTTTCCAATACATCCTCTTCGTGGGTTTTCAATATGTTTTGTCCAGCATTTTTTTACTACATGTTTCCTATCATTTTCACCTCTTTCCTCCATAGGTTTTTAGGTTTTTGCACCATTTCCTCTGGTTTCCTGCATTTTCATACCTTTTCAATATTAATATTAATCCAAGAGTTTTACCTGTCTCCTTCATTTTCCGATCCTTTTTGCACCATTTCCTCTCGTTGTTATCACATTTTCCTGCACTTTCACTGTATTTTTCCAGCATGTTTACTGCATCGTCATGGTTTGCGCCTAGCATACGCTCCGGTTTCCTCCATTTTCCAAGGGATTTTCCATGGTTTGTTCCTAGCATTCGCTCCGTTTTCGTCCGTTTTCCAGGGGATTTTGTACGATTTCCTCTGATCGTTATCATGTTTTCCTGCAGTTTCATTGTATTTTCCAATACATCCTCATGGTCTCTCCGGCCACCAAAAAGGCGGACCTAGGGGGAATCGATACCCCACCGTCAGCAAATTGCCTAGTGGTACATAATCCAGCAAAATGCTCCGTTTTCTGGCGCTCAACACAGGGGCACGGCGAGATTTCGTTCCCTTTCGGCAACCACCCCCCCCACACCCCCTATTCTCACTTCGTTCGCAAACAGCAACTAGCCAGCTAGCTGGCTTTCGTAATATTTCTATAAACAGCTGCAGCTGTAGCTACCGCACAATGCGCATCATTGCGCACAATGCAAGGCAGTTTGGATGAAAATACAGGAGCGAGGCCAGTAAGGCTCTCAGCGAGGAGAGGCTGGCAATACCTAGCCTGGTCTTGCAAAATCATGCACTTAGAGATGTGAATACAATTTATTGCGCAGTAAATCGTAAAGTATCAAACATGCTGAAATCAAATGCTCCTATTATAATTCAATTGATAATCTTTCATCATTTCTATTGCCTTCTTAGTCAAAATGTTCATAAGTTTTCCAGGACCTAGAAAAATGCTGAAAGGTCCACAGGGCCAAGGCATTGCCAGGCTTCGAGGTCGCCATGCTGATGGGAGGCAAAGTTGCAGCCGGTAAAAAGATTTCCCATCCTTGGCGAAGGACTGCAAGATGTCATGACCAAAAGATACCAAAAGCACAGTTTGGATACGATGCTTGACGAAGTCCATATGGATAATGTAGACCAATTCTTGCGCGCATACGTTTTGAAATCCCTGAGCGTCTTTTGGCAAACAGGTCTGAAGATTCCAGCGCTGATTCTGCAAGGATATGCACACACTGCTCGCAGGAGCCTGTCCGGCTCATGCAACCGCCCTGGTCTACAAAGCTTCGAAGTTTAGTATCTTGATATTCAAGATCACTATAAATCACCTTATTTTTCTCTCGTCCCTTTCCTGACGTTTCCTCGTCAACAGGTCACAGGGACACAGCAGTCCTTCGGTCGGAAATCCCAATGCGCTGCTCTCATCAAAGCGCCGCCGATCAAAGACCACTCTCTGCAGCGCATCAGTGCCGATCAAAGAAATGAAAAGAAATGCCAAGCGCTTGCCACGGAGCTGCACCTGCAACAACTGCAACACGTTTCATCTGCTGGGGATGTTAAGCCACTTTTTACCGCAGCTTAATCCCGCACGTGTATGTATGTGTATATATATATACAGGCACATGTTCACGATATAATATGTGTGTGTGATTTATCTATATCATTCTACCTATATACCTACATTGTGCATGTGTGTCCCTGTGATCACGTGTGCTTCCCCAATGTTTCAATGATAATGGCAGAGGATTGGCACCAGTGCACCATGGCAGGCAACTACAAGTAGTACATGGTGGCTAGTAGCAAATCTTGAATTGGTCTGAGTTGCATATTTTGCATATTCAATCTTCTTCGGATCCAGTTAGTAAGTCTGCAAATCATGGCGGCCTGAGATACGAGCCCGTACAAGTCTACACAGGCCTCACTTGGTTCACTCACTTGGTTCACTCACTGTCTCCGTTATGTATCTGTTTGTGGAACTCGCTGAGAATATGAAACTAACATCAAACTCACTCTCTATATAGACTCTAGACATCTCTAGACTAGACTGACTAGATCTCTCATATTTCTGAAACGCTGCATTTCTGGCACAAACGCTGGATCTGAATCATGCCAGCGTGTGGCTACAAACCTGGTGCATTGAGCTTCTGGCCAGCTCACTCGTTTCAAGATCTTCAAGTACTTCAGCTTCTTCAGTCAGTTCACGCTCCTCTCCCCTCATGCAAAGTATGCAAAGGTTTGGAGCTTTCCACAGCTTGCCCCTCCATTGCTCTTATCGATGATCAAGCATCACTGCGACCTACCTTGGCTTTTGCAAGAGGCCAGCGGATGTTCAACTTATACTCTAAGCCAGGAATACTGTACCCCTTTTACGACCTGGTTGCAGTTGCTTCGGCATGCCTCACTTGTGATGTGAAGGCCTGTGTTTTTTATGTTTTGTGCTTTTCACGTCTTTCCATGGCTGAAAGCGTCACAAAGCCACTCAGCTGCAAGAGATGCATCATGTGCATTCATGTGCCACTTGTCTCCGAGAGTGTGCCTTGTCTTTGAAACGAAGGCCAGCAGCAACATGGCTTTGCGAGTTGTCTCATACGCGAAGAAAAGAGACACAATTTGAATATGCATCACCTCCCCGTAACTTGAGAGCAGGCGGAGGCGGACGAAAGGTAGTGTAGTGGGAGAGGAGTGGTGTCAAAATGCTGCGCCCCTCAGATGATACACCAAAAACGTTTTTGCGCAGTCTAAGATGATTTTATCCAGAGCATGACTGCATGATACGGTGTCTTGTGCAGCGTGAAATGATGCACGAAAAGGGGGTTATTTAAAACCCCTTTTTAAGACCCCTTGCAGCAACTGTTATTGAGGCTGAAGCATACCAATTATGCTGGACTACAGGGACATCTCCCTCATGGAAAGTGTGCCTCTAATGTGGGGGCCCGTGACCGCGTCACCCGTGGGAATTGAACCCATGACCATTTTCGGGGGGGGGAGGGGGTCCCCCCCCCCTTATAATTGATATCCAATACATAACGGCGAGAATTCCATGAATTCCGTGGGCTGGCCCCCCAATACCCCCTAAGCTTGTGCTGAAGCACGGAGAACTCAGGTAGCTGACGCTACCTTTCGTGACTTTCAGTGCAATCCGCATCGTGAATGCGAGCTCCGCAACCCCCCTTGAAGGATGCACAACACCATGGTCACCAACCATGCAGCACACTGGGGCCCATGCAATTTGCTTCATGACAGAGTCCATCAAAGAAGTGGCCTTCTTCTCCGCAGCCTCGACAAAACACGATGAAGGCCATGATGGCACTATGTGGCACTACCTAGTTTCTACTTGTTCAGAATGTTCATACATGTTCATACATGTTCATACATGTTCATACTGTCTTTAGCGATAACATTCAATAATTACATATAATTACAAGATCCATCAAGATCCTCTCATCAAAGCACGGCCAAACATGTCCCTTCCAGTTCAAATGTCGCAGTCCTCCTGCTGCCTTTCCTTGGCAATTCTTTCAGCGTTTTCTTTCCTTAGGGACTCGCAGAAATGATATGTCACTCACAGGTTCCCTACACTGCCAAGCTGGAATGGCTTGAATGAGACACTCAGAACATCCAAGGCTCGCTTTCCGTGCCTTATCCTCTTTGCTTTCGCTTGGCCTTGGAAGCAGTGTCAGTGACCATGCCAAATGCTTCTAAGACAGTGTTGACATGTGTTGAGCCTGCCAATGCAAAAATATCATAGGAAGAGATGCTGGAACAGATCCGTGTTTTCTCACTCTCACTGTTGAAGTCTAAGGCTGCAACGGGCTGGCTCCAGGCCATTTTGTCCATTGATGCCCAGCGTCCTGAGCAACACTAAGCATTTGCGACAAGTAATTAATTCATTGAATGGCTCGCAACACGGCAACCGCAAGTCAAAGTAATCACGGATTGCGTAAGACTCGAGTCTTCCCTGATCTTCTCCAGGGCCCCCACGGCTTTTTGACGAGTCTCCTCACCGCGGGATGCGTATTCCATCCCTATACGGTATTTCATCATGATAGTATATATATATATAATTATATATATATATACAATAATTCACTGCATATTAGCTCTGTTGGCTCTTTCTTCTGCATTCATCTGTACTTTCACAGGATTCACATCAACAGAAGAATACAGAAGGACCATTGGACCATCAGCTCCTTTGGCGGCTCGGATCTCGCTCGACCCCACCTTGCAGTATCGTTGCTCAGTGCAGGACTGATCGGTATGGATCAGCGAAGCAACGTGAAACTTATGGTTTGAAAGTAGTTGATAATTGCAGTCTGCTACAGGCCTGCCAAAAAATCCACCTCGGGTCTCCTCTCCCGAGCTGTCCTTCAGAATTATGGCAAAGTCAACAATGCATCTGCAGAAAGAGAGAGAGAGAGAGAGAGAGAAGAAAAAAAACGCCTTTCACCGGTCCTTTTTTTGTTGCTTTGCGTGCGCTTCTCTTTGCTTCTTGCGCTGTGCTTCTCTTTGTTGTTCCGCTGCCCTGCGCTGCTGGGCTTCTTTCTCTCGCTGCCTCGCTTCTTGTTGCTTCCCTCAGCAACAGATGGCGGAACAACGCGGAACACTAGGCTAAGAATTGGAAGGACGCAGGGCATCGCAGGGCACGTGTGAGGACCTATGTGAGGGCAATGCGTCTTGCCATGTCTTGCCCTTGAACAGGTGCAAGTGTCTTTGCCCGAAGGTCGGAATGAAGGGAAACTACAAAGAAGATTTGAGAAATGTTGCGGTTGCAGAAAAAATGTTATATAAGGCAAAAAATGAGCCATCTTTGTGCGCATACTCCGTCTTTCCGGTGGTCACAGAATGCACTCCATAAAACTGCTGTGCACCAAAGTCAGGGTCAGGACTGGGGTGTAGAGTTACGGCAGATTTTGCAGCACCCTGAAGGTTGGCTAAAGATGCTAAAGCTTGCCCAGAATACCAACTTCTCTTGGGCAGTGTATGGCCATGTCTCAAGAAGTATCAAGTAACGCCATCCAAGTTGCTCTGCTCGTCCCGTTTCTGTCGCTCAACTCGCTCAGCTCGCTCCGCCTCTGCTTCCTTCTGCGCCTTGCGATGCAGTTCCTCCTCCTGCCACATCCAGGCGATAAAATATGTTAAAATACGTTGAACATCGTCAGAGTAAGTTCATGCCATTTGCACACCCTATGAGTATTCAAATTGCGGAAATCATTCTTGAAAACTTTAATGTGGTGTCTGTTATGTTTCTTTTAAGTGGTTTGCTACCAGGTCTTGCGTCCTACAGCATCCGCGGGCTTTCAACATTTTTCAACATCGCGTTATGACCCTGTCAATCAATTAGCAAACATAATTTGATGTATAATTATTCGTCTGCTGATTGTCTACCGCTCCTTCTTTTTCCAAATATCTTCCTCCTGGCGCTTCCTTTGTCTCTCAGCTTCTTCCTGCTGCTTCTGCGCTGTCTCCTGGGTATAATGTTCGACGCAAATTCTTAGCATATGATCTTCATGGCTGAGTGCTTCACTTTCGGAGGACGAGAATTGTCTTGGGCAACATCAAGGACACGTCATCAAACGTCCTTCTCTTGTTGCTGCCGCTTGTTGTCTTCTTCCTGTCGCTTTCGTTCTTTGTCAATTTTGTCCTGGGGTCTCAGCAGGCTCGAGACAAAAAAAAAGAAAACACAAAGCACAAGACACCAATTCGAGCCAAAAGCACTCAGTATCAATCTTTTTTGCATGCATGCTGCAAATATCTGCAGATCATCTCTCTGACGCACTATCCTGTGCTTTGCATTTCTGCTCTGTCCTGTTCCCGTTTGTTCTTTATCCAATCTTGCTGCCAGGCATCCTCGCATCAGCAAGATGTCAACAAACCAAACTCATACTCAAAATGGCAAAAGGAGGATTGAAAGGCGTGAAGGGCATTCTCTGGGTGCACCTCTTTCGATCGAAATCCCTTACATGTTTTGCTTGGTTTTTCTGACAACCATGACAACTTTCTGTCCCTCCATGCCCTTGAGCAGCGCGGTCACCAATCCCTCACCTGCTCGGCTCTAGTTTGTTCACGATGGGTCTTGCGCCTTATTCGTTGATTTTTACATCGCGCATGCATTCGATGGTACCAAAGCTTTTGCGGGTCCTAAAGCACATGTGAGAAGTTATCAGAAGTTATGAGGCAGACTGACAAACCCATAAAACAGATTTACTACTGAAATGTTTCTTTGGGGCTCGCAAGTTTGCATCTTGAGGATCGGACTGCTCTTCTTTCTCTCGCTGACGGCGCTGCCTCTCTTCTTCTTGCTTTTGATACCAGCAGTTTGGCCTTGAACATGTCCAAAATGGCCCAAAGATTGTCAGTATACCGAAGAAAAATATGTAAGTGTGCGTGCGTGTGTGTGTGTGTGTGCGTGCGCGTGCTGTGTAAATATTAAACACTTGTTATATATATATAAATATACATATATGTATGTATATGTTATATAACTTATACCAGCTTTGTGCGTTAACAGTCCAACAACTCCACAAAAATGATTTTTCTTGTCTGTTGCTAATAATTACTGTTGTGTTACTATATACACTTATACGACATATAATATACATACATAGTGATACATATAATACTAACAGTAGTATGTACCGCGCAAGGCGGCGGCGGAAGTTTCAAAAATTAAATGGGAAACCTATAGGAGAGATTGGTTGCTGTGAGTCACGGATGGCAGAGCGAATCCACTGATGGACCGACAGGTGGTTGGAGTTGTGTTTTTTGGAGTAGTTACAGTGGTTGTAGTGGTCACCTTACCACAACGTGGTGTAGTGCAGTTGTAGTTGTAGTTGCACTTGGAGCTGTAGTTGTAGTGTCGTGTAGCGTAATGTAGTGGAGACGTAGCTGTAGCGCAGCGTCGCATCTGCAAGTGCAGCAGTTGCGTGGTGTGGTGTAATTAGTGTAGTGTAGTGCAGCGTCATCGTGTAGTGTTGTGTAGTGTGCTGGTATAGTGTAGTGTAGTCAAGCGTAAGGTAGTGTAGTTGTAGTTGTAGTGTGCTGCAGTGCAGTGTAGTGTAGTGTAGTTGTGTAGTTGTAGTGTAGTGCAATGTAGTGTAGCGTAGCGTGTGTGTAGTGTAGTAGTTGTAGTTGTAGTGTAGCAATGTAATTATATAGTGCGTAGTGTAGTGTAATGTAGTGTAGTGTTGTGTAGTATGTGTAGTGCAGTCAGTGTAACGTAGTGGTAGTGTCGTCGTGTAGTTGCAGTTAGTGCAGTTGTGGTTGTAGTGTAATGCAATGTAATCAGTAGCGTAGTGTTGTGTAATGTAGAGTGCAGCGTGCTGCAGCGTAAAGCGTAGCGCAGTGTAGTAATAGTCGTGAAGTTTGTCAAAGTTCTGACAATATGTGAAAAGCTAGGGCAGAGGCAGAGAGAAGAGAAAGATTAGAAGAGAGAAGAGTAGAAGAGAAAGAGTCAGAAGAAAGAAGTGCATACGCGAAAAGTGTCGCGAAACACTGCGTCCAGTGAGTGGCGCGAAGCACATTTCGAAGTCAAAATGTGTGGAAGTGAGATGTCGAAAAAGTGCAGTGCAAATTTCGAAGTCAAAATGTATAAAACACCTCAT